AGCCCCGGCAGGCGCGCCAGCAGCTGCAGCGTCGGGACGGGGTCGAGCGGCGGGGGAAAGGGGGGGGGGTCTTCGAGTCGAGGATGGACAGCCCGCGAAGCCCGGCGCGGCGGCCCGGGAGGCCCAGGTAGGGGGTCAGCGACTCGCGCAGCAGCGGGGTCAGCTCCGCCAGCCGCGCGTGCGAGACCATCGCGGGGACGACGCAGACCCGCTCGAGAATCACGAAGGCAAGACACAAGCGCCGTAGACGGTGGCAGGTCGCGCTGAGCTGCACACACCCCGGCGAGATCGGCTCGCAGAAGTGGAAAATCGCCTCGATGATGGAATCGGACAGAACGGAGAAGTCATCACGAGGCTTAGGGGGCTCCTGTAGCTGCTCTAGCTCGTGTCGTAAGGCAAGGTGAGGGTCTTTTTGCAACCACGCCTGGCGCAATTCGTCGTAGTTCGCATATTTCGTGATAACAATAGAGCGGCCAGTATGCCTTTCAGTATTGGATAAGCGACCAACCTCTAAAGGAGTGGATTGCAAGATACCATCCGGAATGACGGCAGCGTCGTTGTTAAAGTGAGGGAACGACTGAACCCTTGCTGACATCTTGAGGTTGAAAGAAAAAAAATGATACGAGGCAGTCAGCCTCTTATCTTCTATGATTCTCTGTAAGAGAAGTGTGAAACTGGATACTTATATAAAACCATCATAAATAGGAAACCAAATAAAATTTGGCCTTTGTTAGTTTTTTTTTATCAAGGAATTTTTTATTTTGTCTATCAATACACTACAGAAACGCAGAAAATTAAATTCAATAGTATACAAAAGATGTTAATAGGTACATCTCAATCTTGCTAAGCCGTACTTTTCTTTGCTAAGAAAGATGCAAAATGAACACAAGGCTGTACGATATCAATACACGTATCCTCTAGCAATAAAATACGCTCTATATCATCGGCATGGCGCCCGTCGGGAGTAAAAGAAACTAAGGTTTGGAATGAAAACAACGGATAAGTTCGATCGCGATCTTGAAAATATGTCACCAAAGTTCCAACCTGCCAGCGGCAGCCGCGAACTCCCATCCCTGGTTTGGGTTGATGCACCCACGCCTGCACTGGCGAAATCCCTTGCACAAGGGTAGAAGCTTCATTACACGTGGAAGTATCAACCTGCAGCCCTAAAATAGACTCTTGTTGGTTACAAAGCTCCTCAATTACGTCCTCGATGCCGTGGAAAATGGCTCGCTGGGTACCAAATATAGTAATTAGAGTGCAATTCGTATCCAACAAAGAATACAGAATACCGAGATCTATCGTGGTGGTTAAAGATATAGCCCCCTGGCGTAGATCTGGTGGGTCGGGCCTCGACTGCAGGGCATCGAGAGCCTTCTTTAGTGGATCTTTGCGAAACTGGAGTTCTTCAAAGTTTTCTTCAGCGGAATCCAAAACACTCAACTCCTCTTGGAGGACTCGGTGCACAGATTTGTGAGAAAGGGTCTCAACCTCCGAGATCCATTGAATCAGCAGCTTGTCAAAAGACGTGGAATCGTTCAATTGATCTAACATTTTTATTAGGGTAGGAGTTATCGTTTCTCTTTTTATCTAAGACTTTTTGTCTTTAAGCACTAGAAAACAAAAGAACAGAGAGCATCTTCTTTACTAGAACATAGCCCCTTATAAAATCACTAGCATCTTTGGAAAGATCATAACGTAAAAGTCATGATGCGTTTTTGTTCTTTTTTCATATATATTTTTTAAAAATGAGTTAACTAAAAATAACCGTGGTGGAGCATGACAATACTTAAGATTTCCCTCACTTCTTGTTTGCGCGTGCGGCGATGGCCTTCTGCATGCGCTTCTTAGCGCCGGGGGTGGAGTCCATCTTGGCTGCCTTCCGCTGGATCTTCCGGAGAGCGACCTTATGCCACGAGACGGGATCCTTCACGTCGGCCGCATCGAAGACCTTACGAGCCCAGTGAGCTCGTGAACGGCGGGCCACGAGCAGCTGGTAGCGCTCAAAGTCTGTCGAGGTGGCCAACGCCTTCTTCGCCGCCACACGCACGGCCGTCCGGGTCATAGCGTAGCGCTCAAGAATCTTCGACGACGCCATCGCTTCCTTCAGGGCCTTGGCGCTGCAGTTGCGTGAGATCTTCACGCAAAACTTGAGCGGCTCAATATTACGGAGGTTCTGCACGTGGCGCCACATCTTCTTGTCCTCCGGGTTCTCAACAATGATGCGGTTGCCGTCAACGATGTCCACAATGACGCCGATACGGTCCTGGCGAGGTCCACGGAGGATGCGCACAAGGCGCCCAGCACAAACGTAGTGACTCTTTACCATTATGAATTATAGTGTTATGCCCTTCGGGAGAAAAAAATCAGAGTAGATTTAATAAATTACAATAAACATTCGAAATGGGAATAATTGGCCTTTAGTAGTCATAATTTCACTGAACGTTATGGTTTGATTATTCTAAAAGTGTGCATATACATTAAGACAATTCATGTGGTAAAATTGCCTCTTCACGTAGTGTAAACAATAGGGTCTGAATACATAAACAAATCCTTGTAAAAACAATATTTTTTACATCAATATACTAAAAGGGGAAAGAGGAAGTTATTTCATTTCGGTGATACAAAATCGCCACTAAATCGAGCGGAAACAGACAAAAAAACAACAACGAAAAATATCCACCTCCTTGGAGTAAGACCTCTTCTTTCTATCCATCCCTTTAAAATAAAAGATATATGTATATTTAATTGTTAAGCGCGCACACACATGCAGCGCCCTTTAGAAGCCAGTAGTCAGAAGACTTATTTGAAGGAAATTCTATTGACAACACATAATTGGAACTAGCTCCAAGAGACGACATTACTCCTGCCCGTACTGTAGTACGATACAAGGAGACTGCATGGTAATCATCAGGTTTGTTGTGATATGGTTCGGGAAGGAAGTGAATAACAGGGAGAGTATCGTACAGTTCTCCAGGCAGGGAGTCTGACATCACCTCATCCACACAATTCCACCGCCACGCATCAGCATAAAGACCATAGACGTAGCATCCTCGCTGAGGTCCCTCCTCCATCTGGTCCACATCGATGTTAACAACATTAAACCGGAATCCGAGCTTATCAACGGAAACCTTCTCGGCACGCGCAAAAGCCTGACTAATTCCAGTTATGAAAGCGCTCGAGTTAAAAAATCCACCGATCCAAAACGCCTTGGGCTCTCCCCGGCGGACCCACGTTCGGATGAAATTAATCCTCTGTAAAAAGTCGCGATACCATGCCCCCAAAGGCTTCAGTGAGGAGTAGGCAATCGCGCTCCAGAGCTGGGGCACCTGATCGTTCAGGAGCGACGTGTACATCGCGTCCAGATCGACCGAGAGCACCGTAAGCCCGTTCAGGGCCTTCTCCATGTCGGACAGCGTCTGCCGCATGCGGTCAAGGAGCCTGTTGTACATCCCGACCTCGTGGGCCAAGACGGTAGACATGGAATTCGGCAGCCCGTCCTCGAGGGTGACGAAGGTGGTGGGGCCGGCCTCCTCCCGCAGAAGGTTCTTCGGCAGCCCCGCCGCGAGCTCCTGGCACTTATGCCGAACCTCCTCCTCGGGGCTCGCCAGGCCGTCCCCGGCCGCCCCTCCGCCTCCCCCGACCTGTCGGGGCTGGATGGACACGATGGTCTGCAGGAGGTACTGCGAGGTCTGGAGTTGGTGCCGCAGACTGGCGTTCTCGTGCAGGCCAAAGGCCTCGGGCTCGTCCACGAGGGGCAGATGCTGAATATGGGCTTTGAGGTCCTCGAAGGTGCTGCCCGCCTTCGGCGCGACGTACTTGGCGCTCTCGCTAAAGGCGTAATCGTCCCGGAGCAGGCCAGGACCGATACATCGCCGCAGAATCGTCTGCAGCAGGCCGCGGTCTTGGGGGTCGGTGACCCGGCCACCATAGTTGATCTCGCCGATGATGTACTCTATCGGATCCCACGGGATCACATTCTGCTCTTCGAAGAAGAGCCGTAGCCACTGCTTGGAGACGTCAAGGTCGGTTTCGTTCCATTCGTACACGACGTTCCATCCTAGTGGACCAAACTTCCGGCGCTCCAGGACAAAGGAGTGCAAAAAGCAAAGTCCATACAAAAGCTTCTTGAGTGCCTCATTTTTGAAGTAGCCACTGATCTTCTCCTGATCATTAAAAGGGGCGTAGTCTTTGGGTGTAAGATTCCCAACGGCGCGAATCATATTTGCACGTAGCCCTGTTGGTGGTTCATTAGTGAGTTTAATGCTACTCTGAAGCACAAACACGGGGAAAAAGTCCGTTGGCATGGAGGTGAGCCAGAGGCGGAAGTCAGGGTGGGTGTCGGATAGTCCACCCTGAAGTTTTGCAACCTCGCTCTCCAGTTCGGGCATAAAACTCTTGGATAAATGACAGTTCTGAAGGAGTGCCCAGGATCCATTCGTTCGGCAGTTTGCGATAAGCTTCTTGGCGTTCTCACTCTGGCCTTGGCCGAGGGAGATGTACTGCAGCTCCCGCCCTTCAGACTTCACGCAGGCCTGCAGCGCACCCATAGGATCCGCGCCTTGAGATAAGACAAATATTATCGGCGTCGCCGGGGTGCTATCCTGCAGAACCGTCGCCAAGTCAAACGGCGGCGTCTCCACATACGACGCGCCCATGGACGTGCTAATGTAGTTGTAAAGCGCAAGGTAAAGCTTTTCCTCTCGGAAAGTTCGCACGAGAAGGATCCTTTGGAAAGCCGTCAGACGATCCACCCACCCACACGGCACGACCGCGGTTTGTATCTCATCGTGCATTGCATAATTCTTCCACTCCGTCGGATCGTGCGAAAGGCTTTCGCACAGCTCCTTGTAAGCAGGGACGCTGAGGCTGAGGGCCTGGATGAGTTCCCACTGCTGTCGGGTCATCCACTTCAGTTCGGAAGGCAGAGTGGGCAAGTTGGATGGGATTAGCGCCGTAGAGCGCACAAAGTACTGCCATTCGGCTTCCGTGATATCGCCCTTCTGGCGCGCAATCGACGTGACGATGAGTACCGAGAGAATAATTTTGTCCCGGTTGAACAGACCACGACAGACCTGATTATAAGTGGTTTCCGTCAATCGCTCAATCACATTTATAAGATGGCCCTGAAGCATGTCATCGCTTTCCTCCTGGTAGTTCTGTGGCTTATCGGTATTTTCGATCTCATGACGCGCTAAGTTCACAAAAAATTGTAAAGAGTACTGATACATGGGGTCTATACTGGCAATATCAGCGATCACAAAGAATAGGACCGACGCGCGCACCGCCACGCTGCGGTACTTCTCACGGGAAACGGATATGATTTCCATTTTATGGTTTGCTTCAATTTGTTGAGCGCTGACAACCTCGGCATTCGATTGGGCGGCTTTCAGTTCAGCGATCAGCTCTGAGTCGTCCAGAATGTTACCTTTTGTCGAATTCAACCGCTCAAGGATGGTTTTTTCAATCGCCTGAAGCTTTCGCTCTCCTTGCGAAATATTCTCGATCATCCGATTCTTCTCCCGTTCAAGCTCACGTTTCTCAATGGAGACAACCTCACCGAGAAGCTGCTCCTCGAGCCCCTCTCGCGTGACCGTGAAGTTAATCAACGCGACCCGTGTACTGATATCCGGCAGGTAGTGTGGATTAGCCAACTTTGTACACATGAAAAGCCTAAAGTTTGGATGAAAGTCGATAGGGCCAGACTGCGTTGTGAGCTGAATTTGCGGCATCCCACCCTCTCGCATGATGACACGGCGCGCAATCAGATTATCGAGCGCGAGGTCTAGTGTTTCGCCAACATTATCGATAATCACAACGCCACCAAGGCGAATCTGCATCTCGAGGGTTCGCATCCACGTCGGATCGGTCATACGAATTATCTTTAACATCGACATATGACCATGTTTGGAATCGCGCGAAAAACTGCTCTGACGGTTGACAATGGTTGATTGCTGGTAGCTAAACTGGTGCGTAAGCCACTTGATGCCCTGCTCCTGTGGATCAATAAACAGCGGCCACCGATGAGGCGCGTGCGAAAGCATCGCGATGATGGCATTTTCAGCTGACGTATCGTCCATCGGCAGCCCATTGACCCTCCAGCTGAGGATGTCGACAGGGTCGCCGAGGGTCTGAATTAAAGAAGTGCTGGGGTTGAGGTCCAAATTGCACTCCTGGAGCCGTTCAAACCACGCCTTGAGTAGTCTCTTGCGGAAGGCTGGGGTGAAAGAGCCAAAGTAGGCCGCGCAGGCGCTGGCGATGAAGCTCTGCAGAGGTAATTCATTCAACTTTACGCTGAATTGCGTGATATTCTCAGACCATCGAGCGCCCTCACTCTTCAGCGAATTCGACAGCATCTCCGCGTTTTCAAGTCGCCGAATACACACCCGCAAGCCCGTCTCCAAGTCGTTCTTTCGCTTCAGGCTTTGTTGGTAGTTCTCCTCGAGCTCTGCAAGCTCCCTCTCAACATCACGCAGGAGCTGTTGGGTGGATTGGAGTTTGGATGTCGTTTCCGCCAGGTGTTGTTCGGCCTCCGCGGCGGCCTGGCGCATCGGCGCCACCTCCTTAACAATTTTAGAGTACTCGTTGACCGCGTGCACCCACGCGCAGAGGCTCCCACACGTCTGCGACCCCCTTTGGGAACAAATCTCCACCGTGAACTCGTCGTCGTTGATGTATTTTTGGATCTTCTGGAGGATGGCTGGCTTGACGTTTTCGGTGGGGTAGTTTCGAATCATATCCAGCAAAGGACGATAAGATAAAAACTCACGAGCCCCCTTCCAGTCCATCCCACCCGACCACGAATTGCTAAAGTCCTTGAACTCAAACATGCTCATACACGCCTGGGCGGTTTTGAGGACCGCCGACGGTGGGTTGGCAAACGAGCGCAGCTCATTTAAATCGCTGGCCTGAATCGTATCGAGGGCTGCCTTTGCACGCGTAATAATCGGTTTTGCCTCTGCCAGACGACTATTCGCCTCGGAGGCAATACGCGAGGCTTCGCTTTGCTGTTCGGCCGCGCTGGCTTGCTGGGCCCGGACCTGGACCTGCATCTCGCCCACCTTGGTTTGGCGGACCTTAAGATCGGCCACCACGGTTTGGGTTTCCTTCGAGGCCTGCTCCAACAACGGCCGCTTGACCTCGATCTCATTCCGCATTTTGCTGATCATCTCGTCCGTCTCGTTCATCTTCAGCTTCCCGTTTTTGATGCGATCGAGCTGCTCCTGAATCGTCTTGCGCTGCTCCAGAAACATCACCTTGTACATCTCAATAAACTCCAGGTAGGATGTCGGCGTGACGTAGTAGCGGCGCCGCACCTCCTCCCAATATGTGTTCGCCTGCTCCACCACACACGCGTGGACATCCACGCACATCACCGGGAGTTTGGCGAAGAAATCCGCCGGCATTAATCCGTCGAGATCTTTGAGCAAATTCTCCGAGACCCCGTTTAGGGCTTCGGTCGGCCATTCGTCCAGCCAATCAATTGAGCAGCAGTTTGTCAAGGACGGGAACTGGCGGCAGTGGGCCCGGAAGGCGTCCCCGACCGGGCTCATACAAAGCGCCACGTGAAGATTATCCCGAACTCGGGAGATGAAGAAGTTGTAGACGTCCTCTCGGTTTGAAATACCGACCTTTCGGGCCTCTTCGAGGCACGAATTAATTTTCTTCTCCCGTTCTTCGGTGCTGAAGAGGGATGGGACCTCACCGGAGTTGAGGATGTTGCTGATATCCTCAAGCATCACATCGTGCACTAATTGGTTGTCGGATAACAAAATCACGCAAGGTCGGCATTTGACGCCGGCGTAGGTGTAGACTTCCAACAAAAACTCGTGGAAGTCGGCGATGGAAAAGCCCTTCCCGACTGCGACCTCGAAGACGCGGCAGTCGGCCACGTAAGCCGCGAGGCGGGAAAGGGAGCGCTTGCCCGACCCCCCCACCCCCACCACGAGCGCGTGCCCACGTGGCTGTCGAAGAATGCGAATCAGCCGCGCCAAGTGCTCGCAATGATCTTTGAAGAAGACGAGATTGAGCTGGGATGCCGGGACGTCGGTATTGCTGGCGTCCCGGCCCTTGGCATCGACCAAATTGAGAATGGAATTGTACTCCTCTTGGTAGTCTCCCAAAACGTGCGGGAGACGCTTAAAATCGGCGACCTCCTCGTAAACGCGCTCGGCGGAGCCGAATCGCATAAAATCTGCCCAAACCATCGGTGGATTGGCCACGATTTCCTCCAGCAAGTTCGATCCGGGGATCAAATGGGCGATCGCGTCACTCATGAGGTCCTCCCAGAAAAACCGCCGATCCTCGGCGGTCGCGAGGCGGTCGGAGAAGCAGCGCCGGCACTCGTGCACCCACAGCCGGACGGCGGTCTTGGCGTCCTTGCAGGCCCGCGGGGCGACCTGCATCATCCCCTGAAAAACCTTCGCGAGGTCGCGCAAATTGAAGGTGTAGTGGGGGGTCGCCGGGCGGGGCCGGAGGCCGCCCCGCAGCCCGTTAAAAACCTCCACGCTGGTCTGCACAAGCCCCCGGGCGAGGTGCCGCACCTCCTTCGCGAAGCCCCGCGCGTCGAGGAAGCCCCCGAGGACGGCCCCGAAGATCCGCCGCATCGCGACCTCGGACAGGTCCGGCACCCGCAAAAGATGAAAAAGCCGGGCGAGCCGGGGGGTGAGGGGGTGGCGCCCGCCCTCCGGGGGCCCACAGGCCGCCACGACGGTCACCCCCCGCACGTCCTTCCACAGGCCGGCGGCGCGGCGGTCGTAGAGCCCCCCCCGGCCCATCAACTGGCGGAGCAGCTCGATCGGCGGCGAGGCGCCGAAGCCCTCCGGGGCGGGCATGTTGAGGTCGTCGATAAAAAGCGCCACACGGCGCCCCGGGGGGGGGACCAGAAGGTGCTTGCGCTTCGCCTTGAGTTTGCTCTCGAGCATCTCCTGCGTCCGCGCGGCGGAGGTCCGCGCGCTGAACTGGAAGACCACCAACGACAGCTGCAAAGCCTCCTTCTGCGCCTCCAGGCAGCTCGTCAAAATCACCGTCTTGCCGACGCCGGAGTGGCCGCTCAGGAGAAGCGGCTTGCCGGCGTCGAGGAGCATCGCGGTGAGGGCGCCGTAGCGCACCGTGTCCACCGTCGGGACGAGGATGTTGAAAAAGGGGGTGGTGGGGTCGTACACGTAGTCCGGCATCGTGCTCGCCCACGGCAGAAACATCCGCCCCGCAAAGTCGATCGTCAGGTCGAAAACGCTGCCATGGTTGGGGAAATGCACAAGCTTCTCGAACCACCCACGCACGACGTTGTCGAAGTGATCCATCGCATCTTGGTCGACATTCCCGGCAACCGACCAGACATAGGAAAAGGCAAAAAGCAGATGGCAAGTCTCGTTGCGAACGTGAAAGATCTCATCATCGGGCTCGAGCGTCGACCAGTTCTCCGGATCCGGCGCCAACACCACCCCATGGGCCTTCATCATCGCGGTGAAAAGATCACACATCGACTGCACGATATTGATCTCGCACGCGCTGATGAGTACGGCCCGCTCCTGAAGCCATTTTAGCCCCCGATCCACAAAGGTGTCGAAGAGGGAAAGAATGTACTTCCGGCAGAGCGGGCCAACCCCGGCCGCCACGAGCGCCGTTTCGCTCCACTGATGGACTACCGCATTCCAGGGTAAATCCCCGGCGTTGATGTAAACCATTCCACACCGCGAGACGGTCGCCGGGGACGCCACGGCGAGATTATCCACCTCGAAAAGCATGTGAATGGTATCCGGCAATTTCACCCGCTCGCCGTTATCCAAACAAAGCAGCTTCGAGTCGTCCAAGACCGAGTTGAGGGACTCAATCCAGAGCGTGTCGACCGGGCCATCCAAAATAATCCACCGGTGGTCTTTATTCCCTTCGGAGTCTCGCACGCATTCCTTCATGATCGTCGCGAGCACGCCGTCCATCCACTCGTTGGTGTTGACGTCGAGTTGGCCGTACAACTCGTGAAGTTGAATCGCCTTGGGGTTGATCACGAATTGGTGGACCGGGCGCGCCATGGGATTGGTGCTTTCCGCCTCCCCCATTTTGGTCAGCGCCTCTGCGAGGGATTGACAAATCGCGGTCTTTCCCGTCCCCGTCCCTCCGACCAACATCACCCCATGGCGAACAATAAGGGTCTCGTAGAATTGAATCGCCTTCCCCAGCCAGGCCCCGGCATCGAGCAGCTTTTTCCCCTCCATCGCCGCGCGCATGGCGGGCAGGAGCTCGTGGTATTCCCGCTCAGGGAAGGAAACGCCGGGGAAGAGGTCTTGCATGATCCCTTTAAACAACGGCAGATCCTCCGCGACGAACTTTGGGACGTTGGAGTCATTGCAGGCGACGATGAGAGTCCAGTCCTCCGGGACCTCCGGCTGCGAGCGCTTAAGATCACCCGCCATCACCAAAATCGACTTAATCGCGCGCATGCCGAAGTCGTAATGATCCTGCATCGACAACTTCTCCGAGCTGAGTTTGTAGAGCTGCGTGATCTTCAGCGAGAGGTCCTTGGCGTCCTTGAAGCCTTCGGAGTACAAAATCACCTCCGCAATCATGCGAAAATCGGGCGTCATGACGGCGACCGGGCGAAAAAGGATTTTGAGATTATCCGGCAGCTCCGTTCGCCCGGCGTAGCCGGGATTCATCGTGGCGAAGGCGCCATAGGTCGCCCGAACGCGAATATTCGGGGTCCCTTGGAAGGTAAAACTCTCCTGCCCGTTCTGAATCGCGAGTTTGATCTCCAGTAGCTGCGAGGCAATCACTGACAGCACCTCAATGTTGATCCGATTAAACTCATCCAAGCAGGCCCACGCGCCGGTCTGGATCAGGCCCGAGAAGAATTTCTCCATCATCTTGTAGGTCACGCCATCGGAGCAGTTATAGACAATACACTGCCGCGCGAGGTTTTTGGAAAGATCCTTAACCGTTTCGGTCTTGCCCGTCCCCGCGGGACCCTGCGGGGAGGTCCCGAGGTAGAGCTTTAGAGCCCCCGTAATGGTCATATAAATACGATCGGTGAGAGGGGTAATCACCAAACGACCCTGCGCCCCGAGATATTCATAGCCGTAGACAAAGCGCGAATTGTTTTGGCGGATAAAAATATTCCCGCGGCCGTCCTCGTCGGGCTCCCAATACACCCGCAGCTGCTTCGTCCAGCCGAACTCCGATGAGTCGTGGACCTGATTAAAACACATATCATCGACCAAATCGCGCCCATGAACGTCGATCGTAATCATCGTCGAGAGTAAAATGCGCTGGAGTTTGGAAATCGGCGAGGTGGTTAGCTCGGCGAGCTCCTCCAGGGCGCGATAATTCTGCAATTTGAGCTTTTCCATCTGCTCCGGGGTGTTCCCTTTGTCCAGGGCCTCCTCCACGCTGCGAGTCCAAAGCAGCTGCTCCATAATCAACACGAGCTGGACGGGGTGGCGAAACATCCACGCATGGCGATCCCCCGAGGACTCGAAATCCTCCAAACAGGCCTGGGCGTGGCGTCGTAAAGTCGAAAACATTTCATGCTCGAGCATATCCATCCAGCTCTCGACCGGGCCGCGGGCCTTGATGCTTTGATTCGTCAGCTCCACTTTCTCCTCCTCCATGGAGACCAAATGGGTGATGGTGCTGCTTTCGCCGAAAACGAGCGTTTTGATCCCGTCAAAGATCTTGAGCATGTGCGGCATCACCAACTCCGGGGTCCGCACCTTGGCGAGCACGTCCAGAAGATCATCATTGCTGAGAAAGTACAGCCGTGGGAAGGCGCGGCGCTTTTCCTCTAATTTTCGCTCCAAACTGGACAACACCCGCTCGAGCTCGGTGATGTTGACCTCCAACTCATGCTGAAGAATCCGACTCGTCGGCGCCGGATCCCCCGGATCGAACGAGGGCGGGTTGATCAAAAGCCCGCGGTACGCGGTGGGCAAATCGTGTGCCTTTCGCATCAAATCCTTAAAAAAGTGATCCGCCTTTTCGAATCGCTTGGCGTCGTCCTTCCACTGGCTTCGGATCTCCGAGGAGGAGAAGATGTTCTCCAGGTAGACCCAATTTCGCTGAAACTCGACCCATTTATCGAGCGTCGCCTGCATATACTTCAATCGCGCCTCCCAACGATCGACTTGCGTGCGGAGAATGCCATGGCAGCAGCGGCTCGATCCGATCGTGGAGATCACAATCAAGGAATCGTCCAGCAGGGCGGAAACATCCTCGACGGAGGCGCTGACGAGCGTGAAAACGTCTTTTTGGTCCTTGTGGTGGTGGAATTCGAACTCCATCGGCGGTTTCGGCCCGCCGTCATTCCACATCGTGTTGACTTTGTCGATCTGCTGCTGAAGTTTGTCCTCCTCGATGGCGGTCGCGCTGGTGGCGAGGATGTCGGCTTTGTACGCCAGAACGTTGTTCTCCAAGAGCATTTGAATCGTGAACTGCCGATTATACTCCGAGAGCGTCTTGACGGTGCCGGTGGCACTATCCTCCACGGGGCCTACGATATTCGAAACCTTCAAGTGGTGCTCGGCCTTCATCTTGGGGTTCGTAAAGACCTGCAAAATCGGAAGAAGCTGGCGCCATTCTTCGACTTTGGCTTTAAGTTTCGGGACGGCGGCGTTATTGCTCAGCTTGGTCGTCACTTGCTTTACCAGCATTGTGTACTTCTGGACCTTATCCTGGATACCCTCGAGGTCGACCTCAGCGAAAGGCTGCACGAGAACCTCCTCGGTGAAGACCTCCCAATCCGCAATCCCGGTCCACAGTCTGGCCTTCATATTCACGTCGTTGAGCATATCCTGCATTGTATCCACCGTCGTCTCCTCCACCCCAATCGCGGATTGAAAGCGCCGGAGCTCCTTCTCCCGCTCCGCGATCCGCTGGGCCTCTTGTTGGAGCTCCTCAATATACCGAATCACCACCTCCACCTCCTCCTCGTCGGAGTTCACAATCGGCTGCCCGGCCTTATCGTAGACCTCCTCGATTTGCCGACGAAGTTGGTCCATCTGCTCGTCGATATTCCGCGCGAAGAGCCGTTGTTGGGATTCCTTGCCGTCCTCAATCACCTGGACGAGGGTCCGCAGTTTGTCGAATTGCGGTCGCGTTCCGCTGCGGAAGATCTCCTGATCCTGCTCGGGAATCCCAATGGACTCCTCCTGCAATAGATTAATCAACTCGCGAATAAAATCGAAGGAATTGCCAATCGAATCAAGATCGGACTCCAGGCTGTGATAATAATCGAGGTACTCAACGTAGTGCTCGACGGTTTTCGGGAAGGCGCTCAAGTAGGCATTCCGCTTTTGCAATCCTGATAATAGGACCTCGTTGTAGCGATGCATAATAATCGGCATGGTTTGATGAAAGGCCTCGAGGCAGGCCGCCGGGCTCGGCGCGAAAAACTCCCGAAGGCTATCGGAATGAACGCGAAAATGGGTGACGTCTTTGCTGTTTGGGATTTTGCTCGAAATCATCTCCATCTGATTCTTAAAAAGCGTGAGATGATCGCGGAAAAAGTGAATGGTCTCCTGCTGCTCGAGCACCGCGTCCATATCCAACTTTGCGTTGCTGACATACATATCCCGGTACACGTTGAACCCCCGCACGTATTGGTTAACCTTGTTAAAGCAATACAGAAAACTGCTATTCATCAATTGGATGCTTTTCTTGTATTCCTCCTCGGCCAAGATCATTTCGGCGACATCGGGCCCAACCCCAGGGCCCTCCAAGCTCGTCCGCTCGTCCACATTGGAGGTGTAGACTTTAAACACGTCCATGAACTCCAGCCGCGGGACCCCCCGCGCGGTGTGCACGTACTCCGAGATAATATCATCCACCGCCTCCGTCAAGCGCACCTGTGAGGGGCTAATATTTATACATTGCTCCTTTTCATTATAGAAGACCTCGACGCTGAAAAGAGGCCCGCCAAAGAGGCTGTTGGAGTTGGAATCCGATCGCCGCTCGCGCGCGTGGTGGGTGGAGGCGTGCGAGATCGCGCATGAGGTGGTGGATCCATGTCGGGTGGCGACGCCGCTCGAGGGCCCGGTCGACTCCGAGCGCGGGTACACAATATCCGCGACGAGGTTCACCACCGCCTTAATCGCGAGGCTCGTCAGGCAGGAAATGATGAGATAATCGCAAAGTTTAATGAAGGCGGTGAGCCGCCGGCAGGTCGCCTTTCGCTGAGTAAGCTCGACGTAGGACGGCTTTTGCTGAATCCCAAGCTCGCGGATGTCGAGAAGCTTTCGCTTTCGCCGGTCCTCCTCGGTATAGCGCGTGTTCACCTGCTCGCGCTCCATCTGCGCGGCGAACATGGCGGCCTTGCAGGCCTGATCGACCTGATCGCGCAGCCCCATCACCATCCCCTCCAATCGCTCGCGCTGAGCGCCGAGGTGCTCCATCAACGTCCGGCAATACGCATCCAGCGTGAGGGTCTCACGGGGGGAGACGTAAAAATCGTGGACCGACGCGAACTCCAGACAACGCCGCCGGACCAGCCGCAGCGTCGCCGCGAGCTTCGGGTGGACGTGGAAGAGGTTTTTCTGAAGAAAAACGCGGCTGCTATTCATCGCGTGCCGTCGGACGACCCCTCGCCAGACGAGAAAGCTCCGCCAGCGCTTGTAATCCCGAAAGACCGCGAGCTCGCTAACGCGGTGGAAGATCGCGCAATCGCGCTCCCAGGTGGCGAGCGGCATGAACTCCGGGACGTCCCCGGTGAAGCGCATCACGCCGGCGGCGGAGACGGTGTAGTAGGGCCGCCCCCGCAGCTCCCCGTGCGAGACCGGCTGTAGATCGTAGGGGTCGAAGCGGTCCCGCAGGCCCCGCGGCCGCGCGACGAGGTACGCGAAGGAGTTACCCGCCTCCCCCGCCGCC